TTTTTTTAGTTTTTGGGCCCCATTTCTGTTCAGGCCCCAGGCGGCCGCCCAGTTCACCCATGCCCTGTGTCCGGGTCTGCTTGTGACCATATCAAAGGGCCACTGGCATCCCTTCCCATACATCTATATTTTTCATTTGAAAGAGCATCAATTTACTGTGTTTTCCTGGAGAATAATGAACGTTAATGAATAAGTAGGAGGGGAAAGGGCACTCGGGCCTCACTCGCACACACTTCTTCTTTCAAAATGGAAGCTAAAATAATATACAGTAAAGGGCAGAGGGGAAAAATACAGTATTTTTCTTCCTATGACGTTTTCATTGTTCTCTCCCAGTCTCAGATTCATCCCTCCTAATCTAACTTGTACTATATCATTTCCTAACTACAAACCCTATATTCAATCAGCTCATAATCTGACTCCATTTTACCCTGCACTTGATTTCTTACCACCTCCTGGCTCAGCATTTTCCTAAGGCCCTTCAGGTTCCTCCAGTAGAACAGTCCCACTGAGTACAAACACTGCCCTAACTCCCCTCTGTCTTTCTACCTAAACTCTCCAAATACTTGAATTCTTCCTCGTACACGGCCCAGCCACACTCAGAAAACCCATCCCCAAGTACAGAAATCTTCCCCATTCTAGTTACTTTCCAGTTGTTTCCATCCTCAGAAGCTCCAGGCTAATTTTTGCTCATTCTCACAGTTTTGTGCTGCATCTGGTCTGCCTCAAACCAGAAAGATCTGAAGACTGAAAACAGCAAAAGTTAACTGAGCTTTATTGAACCTTCATCATAATTAACCTTAAATACGGAGCTAAGGTTCAGACTGGCTTTTGTTCGGGACTACCACTGATTACAACTGGTTTGTGTCAATCAGCTGCATGGAGCTATGCACCACTTTGCAAGTTTTGTGGAATAAGCAGCTCCAAATGGCAGGAGTTTATTATGATAAGCCAATTCCTATGATACACTGTAGGAAAAAAATGCAGCCATTATTATGATTAGATAAATTTCTATGAGATTAGATAGGACATTACAATAACAAGGTACTTGTTAAAGTATTGCATACGTGTACTTAATTGTGAGAAAAGAGCTAAAAATCTCTGTACTCATTGTTTATTGTACATAAAAAAATAGCAGCATGCCTCAATATGAACTGAATGAACAGCAGACATGGTCCTCAGGATTTGCCTCTTTGGACACATTTATATATAAGTCAGACTGCCAGTATGTCTTCTGCGAGTCATCCCTGGAAACAGAAGCCAATATGATAGCATATGAACATATCAATATTTTTATGACTTGCTAGCATTTGAAAGTATTTTGAGTATTTGGAAAGTAGAACAGAATTATTTTAACCTTGTGTTAGAATAATATTAAATGAAATAAGGTATACATATGAAATGAGGTAATAGGCAGATATAATTGTACTGGAGGCCCAAGACTTTCAAAAGTAAGTGTGGTTCTCAGAGCCTCCATTTTGTAATAATCAGGTGATTTAAGATGCCTCAGTCTGGACATTAAAAAAGACTGACCAGCTATTTTTGAAAACCCTGGCATAGAATTCTGTGGGGAATGGACTTGCCAGAACTTCTCAACACACATTTACTATTACAGCAGGATTTAAGTCTCTGATAATGATGAAATGTTAATCAGCAAAAAAGCCCAGTTTCAAAGGCTTCTATTTTATTGGCATAGCCATAATATGTCAATTTTAAAGCAAAAAGATGGCAGATTTTCCGTGATACTTTTAACCTATAAGATTAGATAATTTAATTTTAAAAAATCATCTGCTTATGGATTTGGCAGTGTCATTTTTAATGTCATAATCTTAGAATGTGACAGGGATTTAAAATCAAATTGCAAACGTAAAAGATATTATGTTGCTTATACTTGATATTATGTGTGTGTTCCTTTAACAACATATCTCTAAAGCCAGATTTTTACACAAAAATATGCAAAAGCAGAAAGTTATAAACATTTTTTTAATTATTCATTCATTCAATAAACCTACCATTCCATGGTGGACTGACTGCATCAGGAGATAGATAATGGAATAGAAGGCATCTCACTTCTGGAGCCAAACATGAGTTCTCCTGGGGACAATAGCTGATGTTGGTGTAATACTAAAATGTGCATAAACCAGTTAGAATTTTTAAAGTGCATCCACAGGTGTCTGTATCTGTAAAGTGCAGTTGCATGGCTGCATCTTTTATATATATGAGTGGGAACAAGTTAGAGGCTGGGTTGAACATTTAGCTCTAAATATTAGTGAACTTTGATTGTTAAATCATTATTAAAACATGCTGAAAATTGGGTTGTAGTCTCTTCTTCAGAGGGCTAATGTTGCTAGTGTCAGAAATGACATCACTTTTTAACCAGATGGATGTTTCCAGCATCAGGCTCAGAAATGCCAAATGGAATTTGTAACTTTAAAAAAATGCATTTAACTATTTATTCATGGTGACAAGTGTTTCTTGCGCTGTACTTTCATGCTGAAGCCTCAGTAATGTGGCTCCGGTTTTCTTTTAAACTCACAAACACAGGCAGCTCAAAGGAGGAAAACTAAAAGAAAGCTTGGCATTGCACAGACCGCTCAAGCATGCAGAGGGTGGAATTCCACCCTTTCAGATCGATTCAGTCCAGTGAGCTAGATCCCTCTTAATGTTTCACTATGCCATGACTACCTAAATTACAGTATAAGTGTTTTCAAAAATATTTCTGATCCTTATGTAGAAAAGAGCTCCACACACAGATGCACAGGCAAGACACTTTCAACTTTCCTTTTAAATATCAGCCAGCACCAAATGCACATATTCTCCAGCCTCCCTTCTGCTATTATGAAGCAGGCAATCTTTTGGAGATTATACAATGGGATAAGATGTTCCTTGCTTCCTCTCTGAAACTTCTTGTGTAGTGTAGCGGTACGCTGTTGCATAGCTGCAGTTTTCAGTAACAGAAGTAGCTGCATTTCTGTGATTGATAAGGTAACTGTCACTTAACTGTTCATCCACCCTTGCGGATGAAACGTGACAGATGAAAAAACAAAAAGTCATGTAGTTACGTCATTATTCCCACCTCTTTATTTGTATTGTCTTTGGTAAGGCTGAAAGTTTTGACCATTAGCACCAAGATGGTGGCTCTTATCCAATTCTGTATTGTGTTAATGTAATTGTCCCTGGTTTCTTAGGCAAACACAAGAGTGTAACCAAGATGCTGACCACTGTAGCCAGCCTTATTGTCTGCCACACCATCTGAGCTAGATGCTAACTAACTCCTCCTGCACTCACTCAAATGAGGACTAGCGCTGTGCAATTCCAATTGTTCGCCCTTGAGAAATACAAATCCACATAATGATGCAGAAGAGAAGAACAGAAACATCCTTTGGAGCATCCTTTGACCATCACTCAATATAATCGAGTGAAATGCCCAGGTCCTGAGCTTATGGAACGTGAGAAGTAGCACGAGAACATAATACTGTTATTTCAGCATTAAACAAAACCTCTGAAATTGTGAAGAATTCTGTGAGTGAGAGACAGCAGACGGAGCTCCTGGAATTCTGCCGCTTTCCAGATCTCCATTCAAGACCACCGGGCACTGAGTATGAAAAAAATTGGAAAGCAACTGGGATGGGAAAGATTTCTGTACTTAGGGATGGGTTTTCTGAATTTGAATGGGCCATGTACGGAGAAGAATTGAAGTATTTGGGGAGGTTACGCAGAAAGATAGAGGGGAGTTAGGGCAGTGTTTGTAGTAAGGGGGGGGGGGGGGGGGGG